CTCTGAACATGGCCTGCTTTCCTCTGCTCCGGCACTTTTCGTCGTTTTCACGTAATCGAATGCCAGCTCCACCTTCCTGCACTTGATGAATCTTATGTATCAGGAGGAGCACATATGCACACATTCAAGAGATAAGTAAAACACATATACTGGAATGCAACAGACATCGAAATAGAAATATCTTTATTCTGAAGGGAGAGTATGAGCCCCAGGTTTCTCCACGGCGGATCATCTCGAAGGTGGGCGCTTGTTTTGTAATCATCTGCTTCAGGCTCTAAAGAAGCTGCAATTTTCGGCTCCGGTATGTCACCGCGCGGGTTCTTAGAAGACCGAGGATGCAATTCCTCTTCGCCTGAAGTTGAGAACTTTCTCTTCTTCGTCTTCTTCATCTTCTTCGCGGGTTCCGACTGGTAATCCGCCATTTGAGGTTTAGGCTGCAAGAGCTTAGCCGGCGGTTAGTCTGGCGTCTGGGCTTTGCTTTCCATATTATAGCCCATTTAAAGTAGCTTTTAGGTGAGCTGATGGACCTAAAGTCGTAGAGACGGCCCAAAACTGAAATTCAAGGAAATTTACATTTTGATTGTGTTCCATATTGGGCCTCTGCGTGTGCGGATGGGCATGTTCTACATTGTTATCCATCACCTATCTCCTTCACAAATAATTTGACACAAAAAGAGAAATAAAAATAATATTTCTATGTCGGATTTCATTTAGTGGCTCGCTATTTTTTCACTCGTTATTTGTGATATGTTGACTTTTAATATTGGTACAGAAAATTGACGGGATTAGAATTGAATAAGAAGTTAAAATTTTATGGAATTATTTGGATGAAATTGAGTTTTTCAATTCTAATTTATTTTTGGCACTACTAATTCCAAATTCACATATTTTTATGCTACCGAGCAGTATCTCCAATTCCAATTTTATAATATGAATTTCGTGCATCAAACGGAGCCCGAATGTTTTTGGACCAAATGCTTCGATAGTAATTTATTTAGAATAAATAATGAATAAATCCTGTATTTATTGATTGAGAAAAGATAGAGAGGGTGATAAAGTAATTTTCTAAATTAGACAACTATTATGTACCAAGTACTTCTATGTCTCAATCATGTATGGACTAAAGGACAAATATCTTTTTGAATTTTTATGAAAAAGACAAGTGCACATTAATTATACTTTAATCTTTGTGATTCCTTAATGAAAGAATTTCAATTCATACCTTAGCTTCCAAAGCGCCAAAAAAAACAAAATACCGTGTATTTGATGTGAAAATAATAAAAATTGCAAAAATTCTTGATATGTGATGAAAAACTCGGTAATTGCAAAATTGAAAAAATATCCTTCTGCAATTGGTACAACCTAGCCCCATTTGATTGTCCAAATCTATCATCCAGCTCTTCAAGAAATCAGTCACAGTAATTGCGTATATGACATTATTTCTAATTTCTTTGCTCAAAACATTAAGAATCCAAGATGTAACGTAACCATGTCGTTACATCTTTGCCAAATACAGTATATTCACATTCAATTATCATGCACTTGTAATCAAATTCTGTATATCGACATTCGACTATCACATACTTGTAATCAAATTCACATATAATTATCATCAATGATATGATCGGTAATAAATTGTAGCATGGCTATTAACAATAAGAAGTACTCTATAAAAAAGGAATGAGGAGGGTAGGTGTTGAGTGGTGGACTTGGTGATACCCTCATACCCCACCCCAGCATTGGGTGGTAGATGGGATGCAGATATACTATACGGACTATTGAAATATGAGGCTATTATATATACCAATCATTGGTAGATATAATCTACTCCCTATGTCTCGGAATTTTTGCCAATTTTTAACTTTTTTTCGATCAAAATAAATAAAATTTGATCTCAAATTAAATTAAATAAAAACGATATTAGATATTGATATAAAATACTTTTATTAGATTTATTATATAAAATATTTTCAAAGTAATATTTTGTTTAATTAATGTATGATATATATTTTATTTAATTATATGTCAAAGATTGAAAACGGTTAATTCAAAAAAAATCAAAACTGGATAGATACTCTCAAACAAAGGTAGTATATGCCTGAGATATCTAAATTTGACACCAACTTAGACTTTCCCCTTTAATTTATTCATAGGACTCTAAAATGGGATGGAACCTTGCATTGAAGATGAGAGACCCACTTTTCAATAGGCTAAAATCCATCATTTGTCATTTAATGTTGTGAATTGTGCAGGACTGGTCTTTCAAGTCTCAAAAGTTAATAAACAGTCCTTCAAGTATTCAGCAACCTCCAAAGTCAGTCTTTCAAGTTTCAAAAATTCACAAATAGTATTTCAACTATTAAGCAACCCTCCAAATGCAGTCTTTTTTACAATATACGTTAAAAGTTAAACGGAGTACTAGCTCCATATATATAACTTCTGATATGTAATGGGTGCCAAATGCAGCTAGCTCCACATATATAACTTCCGCCTCAGTGCCAGATGCAACTTCCAACCTGCAATGGGTGCTTGGTGTTGGCCCCGTCCTCCGAGTAATGTAGCGCATTGTGTATTTTCCTCCCATTGTAAATTCTAGGGATAAATTTACTTTCAAAGGAGTTCGATTTGTATTGTAAAGAACAAAAAACTTTGATTGTAATTATGGAACTCATTAATTCACTATGCGTAGAAAACAATCACCTACGTATAGGTACAAGTACTTTGTATTATAAATATGGAAGTAATAACCCATTTATCTTTTAATGTGTATCGTAAAAATGACTATATTTAGAAGGTTGATGAATATTTGAAATACTACTTATGTACTTTTGAAACTTGAACCACTGTATCTGGAGGGTTATGAACACTTGAAATACTAATTATAGACTTTTGAAACGTGAAGCATCAATCGTGCACAACTAATAAAGTTAAAGAATGAATGATAGATTTTAACTTTTTTAACACCATTTTTTGGAAAATTGGAGACTGGCCATTGACCATGCTCCAAGATGTACTAAGGCTCCGTTCCGCTCAACTTATTTTTTCTGATCTGAACTGATTTTTTGTAGTTCTAATCTGATCTGGTTTGATTGGATCTGATCTGATCTGGTCTGATGTGATTGGATCTAATTTAACCTAGTCTGATCTGATTGGATCTGTTCTGATCTAGTCTGATCTGATCTGGTTAATTATGATTTGATCTAAAATTCAAATCAATAATTTGATTTGACTTTATAATAACGTTTGAAAATTGTAATGATAATTCATATTATTATATAATCAATATTTTTTATTTTATGATTTTTTAATAAAATAAAATTACGTAATTCATATATTAGAATAATCATTCATATTATAATGTAATAATATTTTTTATTTTATGATTATTTTTTTGTGAAATTAAAATATTAATTTAATATTTTAATAATTACTTCATATATACATTAGAATAAATATTTAATTTATATATACATTAAATACGTCTAATAAGTAAGGATTACTTTCTCAGTTTTCTATTTAACTTGATTATGAAGTTTATTCTTTTTCATTTTTAATAATAATAATAATCCTTGATGAGATCTGATCTGATCTGATTGGATCTGGTCTGATCTGAACGGGGCGTAAGTTTTATTTTATAAGGTGAATTGCTCAATGTTTACTGAGTGCTTTCAAATTTCAATTATTGAGCTGCACCTAATAACAAATTTAGTCATTTAATTAATGTTATCGCCGCTTTTAATCGAAAGATGCATATATCCTTTTAGCCTTCCAAAAAAGTGCATGTCAATCTATATCTCCGTGTGAGGAAATAAACATTTTCCCCCAAATATAAACCATTTTGAGACCTCATCAAATCAGCAACTTGTATTCAATGCGAGTATGCCAAAAAACAAAACAAATTAGACTTTTAAATATGATTGCACACACCCTTGCTAGATTGACAATTAACAGGTGCCATGAATGGGGTCCGACCCCCTCATGATGTACTGTAATATCTTTAATAAATGATATGTTTGATTTCAAAAAAAAAGTATTGAGTGTGTGTTTGACATAGGGAGTACTACTTTCTAAGATTTTAATGCAAAACAAATTTCAAGTGTCTAAAAAAAGTAATAATATAATTTTTGTTCGTCTGATCTGATATAATTTTTAAAATATTTGATCTATTATAATCTGATTGGATCCGATTTGATTAAACATGATATGAGGTGGTTATATTAAAAAATGTTTCTGATCTGATCTGATTTTAATAAGAATAAGTAATAAACTGAAAAATAAGTGGAACGAAATGAACCCTTAGTGCTTGTTGGTAATACTTTCAACATTTAACAATATTTTCCTTTAAGTTATCAAACAATAACATTTTTTTTACTTTAACATTTTTAAAATTAATCTATAACATTAAAAAAACTAAAATACCAATTGATGAAAATATTATTCACAAACAAGGCCATAATAATATCTAGACATTCATTCTGTGATGAATGTACATTTCATAATGTACCTATTTAGGGGTTCAATAAATAGAAAAAATCAAAATACAAATACAAACAGAGAACGCTACTGCAAAACAAGGGTTGTTTCAAACTTTTGGCATTGGTTTACATCGATGCAAATGCAAGCGAGCATTTTTGAAACCAGATAAACATACTTCATTCGGCCTTCAAACTCATAGAGCCAAATTTTATCCTCTTTGTTACCTTATTTTTTTATTTATATGAAAAAAATTAAAAAAATATACAAATTTGTGGAATTGTATATTCTATTTTGGGGTAGAATATAAACAAATTTGTGATGGGGGATAATTTGCCTTTATTCATTGCTTTGCTCACATGATGTGCATGAACCGTAAGTAAGAGGGAGAGTGAGCGAGCGAGTGAGTCAGCTCGCTCCTCCCAGATCCATGTAAATAGCTGAAAGCGCAAGCAATCAATCATTTTGCCATCCCCACCGATTTCTATTGTTATAATCATCAAAATGCTTAACTAACCCAATTACCCATCACCGATTTTTGTTTTTTTACTGCTTCTTGATGACTGGCCTGCCTGTTACTCCGATTTCACCCGCTCATGAATAATAAATGAGTAAATAAAAAACCAAGAATTATTTGGAGCTGGAATATTCAATCAAGATTTCAAGAATTATCAAACGGGGTTTTAACGGATGATTGTTCATCCCCTTCCCCATTTATTGGCGATTTCAGTTCATTCTCCCTAGCATTCATCTGTCTGAAATTCGCCGGTAAAGTCCCGCAACCATTCCTCTCTTTCTCTCTATGTCTATTCGTCTTCTTCCACCAATGGATGAACAATCGCCGCTAATGCGCATGCATCTATCGTCTCAGTCGACACTGATGCGATTTTTCATCGACCCATTTTTTTTCTCGATGAATGCAATCATCAGTGGAGATGAACAGAGATTAATCTTGATTTTTATTTTCTTGGGGTGGAGGGTTTCGGATTGTTTAATTTATTAACCTGTTTCTGTTATTTTGGGTCTCGCTGGAACTTGATGGTGATGATTTACTTTTGGGGTTTCAAATTTCAATGCAGATTCTTGAGAGGGTCTGGAGAATGTCTACGTTGGTGCTTCTTCCCGAGGAAGAAGTGAATCCGAATGGGAGCCTGAAAGAGATGGAGGGCATATTAAGCATGGAAGAGCTGGAGGAGTTTGATTTCTTGAAGTTTTCAGAAAAGCCAAGAAACGTGAACATCGAGAGGAGGAGCTCCTGGGATGAGAGGACACTTTTGACCTCTCCCAGTGCCCCGCTGGACTCCATTTTCTTCTTGGACGGTGGAGTTGTTTCAGAGAAAAAGTCATCTCCCAAGTCACCCTTTGGCGACTCGCCCCCATTAGTGGCCGAGGCTTGGGATCATTTGAAACAGTCTCTGGTTTATTTCCGTGGGAAGCCTGTTGGCACCATTGCTGCTTTGGATTGTTCTGATGAAAAGCTCAACTATGATCAGGTAGGTCACTATATAATATATAATACTCTCTCAATTCCCCAGATTCCACTTTCTTCATCACTGTTAATGTCATAATTATTATATGATGATGCCTTCCCTGTTTCTGCATCTTGAAGATTGATCTTTTACTGTTTTTTTCTCTCTCCACAAATTGGCTGGATTTTGGGAAGTTAAAGAATTAACTGTTCTTCTTGGATGATGATGATGATGAATATATTGTATGGTATATTAACTGAATGTCTGGCCAAGTTTCCAGATAAAATCATTTTAGTTGTCTAGTCTCTTTGGTAACTTCTGAAATCCCAACTGTGAAGTTAAAGTGTCAAATTCCTCCTAGCTTAGCTTTGGCACTCAATGGTGAACTCTGTGCACTATGAACCCTTTGAAAGATTAAAAAAATGGCAAACAAAATCTACTCCACCCGATAAGCCTAAATGGATTTGTGTGATTTTGTTTCTGCATTGAACTCCTTATTTCTGCACTAGGAGTTAGTACTAACACCGATGAGATTGTATATCAGGTGTTTGTGAGAGACTTTGTCCCAAGCGCATTGGCTTTTCTGATGCACGGGGAGCCTGAAATTGTGAGAAACTTTATCTTGAAGACGCTACGCCTCCAATCTTGGGAGAAAAAGATAGACCGTTTCCAGCTTGCAGAGGGGGTGATGCCAGCCAGCTTCAAGGTGATCCATGACCCTGTGAAGAACTCAGAGACATTAGTGGCAGATTTTGGTGAGACTGCAATAGGAAGGGTGGCTCCTGTCGATTCCGGTTTCTGGTGGATCTTTTTGCTGAGAGCCTACACGAAATCTACAGGCGACACTTCCCTGGCTGACATGCCGGATTGCCAGAAGGGAATGCGCCTCATTCTCAGCCTTTGCCTCTCTGAGGGCTTCGATACCTTTCCCACCCTTCTCTGTGCTGATGGATGCTCCATGATTGATCGTAGGATGGTCCGCGCTCTTTATTCTTCTTCTTCTTCTTCTTGTTTTTCCATTTTCTTGAGTTCCTCATGTGCTGAATGTTTTTGTGTGTTGGGGTTCAGGGAGTGTATGGATATCCAATAGAGATTCAAGCACTGTTCTTCATGGCTTTAAGATGTGCCCTGCTGTTGCTGAAACAAGATGCAGAAGGGAAGGAGTTCATGGAAAGAATAGAGAAGAGGCTCCATGCTTTGAGCTACCACATGAGGAGCTACTTCTGGCTTGATCTCAAGCAGCTCAACGACATTTACCGGTACAAGACGGAGGAGTACTCCCACACCGCTGTCAACAAGTTCAACGTCATCCCGGATTCCCTCCCGGAGTGGATTTTCGACTTCATGCCCACCCACGGCGGCTACTTCATCGGCAACGTGGGCCCCTCCAACATGGACTTCCGCTGGTTTTGCCTGGGGAACTGCATCGCCATCCTCTCTTCCCTGGCGACGCCCGACCAGGAGTCGAAAATCATGGACCTGATCGAGTCGCGTTGGCACGAGCTGGTCGGTGAGATGCCCATGAAGGTCTGCTACCCTGCGATTGAAGGGCACGAGTGGCGCATCGTGACCGGGTGTGACCCCAAGAACACCAGGTGGAGCTACCACAACGGTGGGTCTTGGCCGGTGCTGCTTTGGCTGCTGACTGCAGCTTGCATCAAGACAGGGAGGCCTCAGGTGGCGAGACGGGCGGTGGAGCTGGCAGAGGCGAAGCTGCCGAAAGACGGGTGGCCGGAATACTACGACGGGAAGCAGGGGAGGTTCGTGGGGAAGCAGGCGCGCAAGCACCAGACATGGTCCATTGCAGGGTACCTGGTGGCAAAGATGATGCTGGAAGACCCCACACATTTGGGGATGGTGGCCATGGAAGAAGAGAAGCAGTCCAAACCAGTGCTCAGAAGATCCTCTTCCTTCTGATGGATTTAGCTTTCGCCCATCATTGCTAGGTTCCCCCCTACATGTTTAATTTTCTGGGGATTAATTCATATCAATTGCCAATTATTTCACAGTAACATTTGTTTGACATTTTTTTGTTGTTGTTGTGGTTGATGCTCAATCTGAATATGAATATGGATGCTTTGTTTCTTCATCTGTTTACAGAAGAAAAAAAATGTGATTATTCTGAAACCTTAAGCATCATTTCTCTATTCTCGTGCCTAATTCTGATTGTTATCCACTTTAGTGTTTTGAAATGATTATACAAGGAAGAATTTTAAAAATAATTTGTACCATTAAAGAAATATTCAAAAATAATGTTAGTTAAAAATAAAGTATTCCAACCAAATGCCACAGGTTCTCGATTGATTAGTAATGTAACAAACTGATCTTATACCAATAACTAATAAGGCGTTAATATTGAGCCATTCTTTTCGAGGGATCTAAACTGTGGCCTTAGTTTGGGATTTTTTTATTGAGGGGATTGAAATCCATTTTAGAGAAGAAGAGCCAGCCTACTAGTGCGGCGGAACAGAGGAAATCAGGTGGAGGATGAAGGGTGGTCGGAGGCCGATCTACGCGGCGATAACATGGCTGAGCCGGCAACCGCCGAAGGTGAAAGCATTTCTGGCCGTGATAGCGGGGATGGCCACGCTGGCGATGCTCCGAGCCGTCATCCACGACCACGACAATCTTTTCGTCGCTGCCGAGGCTGTTCACTCCCTCGGGATTTCCGTTCTCATCTACAAGCTCACCAAAGAAAAAACCTGCGACGGTAAACACGCACACAAACAAACAAAAAAAAATCCCTTATTCATTCTCCCCTGAAAAAAAGAAAGAAAGAAAGAAAGAAAGAAAAAACTCTGGGTTATCAATCCAACCTTAGTTGCTTTTGATATGATGATTATATTGCCGCAGGGCTTTCACTAAAATCCCAGGAACTCACAGCCATGTTCTTGGCTGTTAGACTGTACTGCAGTTTTGTAATGGAATACGATATACACACAGTTCTTGATCTGGCTACACTCGCTACGACTCTGTGGGTTATTTACATGATTCGTTTTAGTCTAAGATCAATTGAAATGGAGCACAGAGACAGTTTTCCCATATATTTTGTGGTCAGCTCTTTATACCCACCTTATAATAATAATAACTACTCGTTTTGGAAAGAAAACAAAGTCTTAATGCCATTACATGTTTCTTTAATCTTGCAGGTTCTACCTTGTGCAATTTTAGCTTTGCTCATTCACCCAACTACATCACATCACCTTGTAAACAGAATCCTATGGGCTTTTTGCGTGTTCTTGGAAGCCGTTTCTGTGCTTCCTCAACTGCACGTGATGCAAAACACTAAGGTAGCATTTTAAAAAAACATCAATACAGTAAATTTATGGAGCACGGCTTCATGATCATCATCATCATCATTTTCTTTATTACTACTATTTTGTTCGCAGATCATCGAACCATTCACAGCTCATTATGTATTTGCATTGGGTGTTGCAAGGTTCTTAAGCTGTGCTCACTGGGTACTACAGGTTTGGCTTTTCAAGTGTTTTAGATTTTGTGGATATGTATCAGTCTATCTTGAGATGCAATAATAACCTTTTTTTATAACAACTGTGTGCCAGCAGGTTTTGGATAGTCGCGGACATCTCCTTGTGGCTCTAGGTCATGGCTTATGGCCTTCTATGGTGCTTATATCTGAAATAGTTCAAACTTTCATCTTAGCAGACTTTTGTTACTACTACATGAAAAGGTAAGACAGTCAATCTCTACTTGTTCTTTGGGATATATTTCTAACTTTCTATTCCTTTTTTCTAGAATAATAACGATATGCCGATGTACTCCCAAACAAATGATATGTTGATTCTGTTGACTTGTGCAGTGTTTTTGGAGGGCAGCTCGTGCTGCGCCTTCCTACTGGAGCTGTGTAAGACAACATGATGATAAAACATATCTCAACCCTCTTTTGAATGAAGTTTTTCCGGTCCCCATCTCTTATTTTTGCCCCTTTTGGTAGTTTTTAATTCCCTATAGTGCTTAAAAGTAAATCCATTAATTTTTGTGTTTTGTTTTGTTACAGAAGGAACTCTAGTGTCATCTCTTTAAAAAGAATATATTAATTGTTTTATTGTTCATATGATAATCACTTGAGCATTCAGCAAGGAACAGTTGAAATAGAAAAACTCATTAATAAGCTCCATGCTCTTTTTTATAAGCTCTTAGGTTAACTTTCAGGCAGTGAGTTTCCTAGTAAGGATGCCCTCAAAAGTGATTCCAGGACCAAAAGCCAGTATCAACCCCCAATCTGCTTCTTCTTCTTCTGGTTGATTTTTCTTGTTCTTCTCCTCCAACATGTACTCCAGAACATACACGATAGTGTTACTGCTGGCATTCCCATAATCAGCCAAAGCTCGCCGGCTCGCGCTGAGCTTCTCTGGCAAAAGTTCAAACTTCTTCTCGAGCCTGTTAAGGATCGCGGGCCCACCAGGATGGACTGCCCAAAACAGCTTGTTGTAGTCCTCCGGAGTGTACCCTGCGACCCCGATCAGCTTCTCACAGAACTCCCCAATGTTATCTTCTATTATCTGGGGAAGCTCCCTTTCCAGCTTAAAGCTTATGCCTTCTTCAGTAAGCCTTCCATCAATGATCTTTTCTGTGTTTGGGACAAAGTGCTGTATAGCTGTGTGAAGTTCAAAGAGAGGCCTTTCTGTTTCTTGAACCGGGTCTGACCCGATAATCATGGCTCCAGCCCCATCACCAAAAAGAGCCACCCCTACCAAGTCGTAAGGGCGGTCTACGCTCGGGGGTTTGAACCCAATAATGGTTGTTTCTGACGTGGCAAGTAGGACTCTGCTGCCTGGATTGTTCTCTGCAATGTCCTTCGCAACACGAAGGCCGGCAACCCCACCGGAGCAGCCGGAGAAGTAGAGCATGACCCGTTGGGTGTCCGGGCACAGCCCGAGGCCTTTCGCCAGGTAAAGGTCGCCTCCGGGCAGCCGGGCTTCACTCGATGAAACATAAACCAGGTGGGTGATCTCCGACGTGGACCTGCCCCATTTCTCGATGCAAACCCGCGAGGCTTCTAATGCCATTTGGGTAACAGCTGAGTTGCAGATGTCCAAACGCTGCTTCACCGTGGGAAGTCCTTCAATGGCGAGCTCTGGATACTTGTTTAGGATCTCTTCAGACATGACCACATATCTCGTTTTCACTGTCGTTGTCTTGCCTGCACAATATGTATCACAATAAGACCCCAAGCAAAATAACATTTACCAAAAGGGCACTAAAAATAAAGAACACTAACAGAGTCGAGTGAGCTTCTGCCTGAGGGCTGGATCATCACAGTTGGTGTTCTTGAAATACCCATCAACCAGAAATTCTTGCATTACAAGCTGGTGAGGGAAGGCCTTGCCTATAGCCATGATTGAGGCTTTTCCAGTGTTGGCCTTCTTGACTCCTCCCTGCATAATTGCCTCTCCAAACCCCATGGCTGCTCTTAATTACAGAACTTCCCAAACAAGTTTGATGAATCTATGTGTATATATATATATACTCCTGCCTGAATGGGGAAGACCCAAACATCTGCTATTTATACACTCGGCACAACAATACTTTCAATAAAATATGATTGATGGAAGTATTATTAATTTAATAGTCACATGGTTTGTAGATGGATTTTGTGACAATATAATTATTTACGGATTTAAAAGGGATTAGTTGAAGAGTAAGAAGCTCATGAACTTCAACAGAGAAAAGAGTTTGGTATTTTGCAAGACTGGTAGGGCTCTTGCAGTTCAAACAATATTTTTCAAGCTCATTTCTCTTTTAAAGCATTCATCACTCCTTTAGAAAAGAGCAACAACAATAAACTTGGTAAAATCCGACAAAAAGTAGGGTTCCGGGAGGGTATTTTTAGTGTTTACACAGACTTTAACCGTACTAGGTGGTAGGGAAGATGTTCCAAATCACCAAAAGAAAAACAGAAGAAAAAGTACATCATGTAATCTATCTACACACCGTTGGTTTAATCAAATTTTATTAGTAAGTTCAGTAACAGCATGTGGGAAACACGAGAAATTCGAATAAATCAGATGAAGAACTCAACGAGCGTGGACCAAATCAAAGATCTGAGAGAGATTTGCCACTAATGAAATCAACAACTCTTGTAGCAGCTTCATCAAGTGCAGCAGTTACTGCTAACAAATTTTGCAAAAACTCCTCAGCTGTTGGTTTATCACCGTCCACTATATCAGTCACAGCTTTCAACAGAATTGCAGGCACCTTCAAAAGATCTGATACGTATGCGACTGCTGCTCCCTACAGAGAATATAATATAATTGCATCTCTTAAATATAGTTCCTCTCATTTTATGAAAGAAGTTATTACTGCTCATATACAAAAATGAGAAACTCTAAAATTCTGTTCACTACTTCGTACTGTGCAAAAAAAAAGAATGGCTCCAGTACCAAAATGCCAATTTACAAGGGTCATAGAGTCACACACTCATCACTAAATGCCACCGACAGCCAAGGAAAAAATGGAACAACAAAAACGCACCTCCATGTCTTTAAGAGTTGCTTCATTAGCAGTTATAGAGGTTTCATCAATTGGTGACATATCCAAGGAATCGCCAGTAGACAGTTTCCCAACCTGAAACACACCCACAAGTATTATTGAACTGACCCTTAAAAGAATCAATATCAAAGTTCCAGAAATATAGGTGAGGAAAACCCACCTTCATGTTAAGTTCTTTCAGGAGATTAGGAGTGGGGCAAGCCTGCCGCAAGCCAACTCCATACAAATCAAATACCTATAGAAATCATGAAAAGGGGCAGATTAGGATTCCATAATCAAGCTATTGTTGATAACAGAAAATGGTGCTTGGTCATTGAACTGACTAAGATGTCACAAGTGTGGCTTCAAATGAAAAAAGAATGAATTAAGGTTCCTGCCTATAGAACACTATAACATACTCCGTATATAAGTATACTCTCATCACTGAGAAAATTATTGATAATTCTGTTGAAATTGTTTTTTTATTTTTAGCCATCTTGTTATTGAATGAGTTAGATTGTGTATAGGCATTGGAGTGGACTTTTGCACAGTGCAAAGAGAGCAAAACTGTGGGGTTTGGGCTAAGAAAACCTTGAGCAAGGGGCGCATACTGTACGGAGTGTTAACCAATTGCCGAAAACCAATGGAGTGGGGGTGACTTACCGGGATAGGTATTCTTCTATCATGGAAAGCAGCATGTGAGACAAGAAATACATCACCTATGGAAGCTCCTTTGGCCTGTAAATGTCTAAAAATCAACACCAAACTACGTTCAACAGAAGATGTTCTAGGCATAGCCAGAAAACATAACTCCCTTACAAGTTCATACCTTAAACCCACCCGCAGTTCCAGCATTTATGATGAGGTCAGGTTTTAATGCTTGGATGGAAGCATATGTTATAAGAGATGCAGAAACAGTCCCTACGCTGTCAACCCCTGAAACACGATTTCATCACATATAATCAAAAGGGCAAAACATAAGTGAAGTGTAAAACAATTGTAGCACACTACATACCCAAAGCTGAGTCTTTTCCAGGGCAGACAATATTAATGTTCAGATCCCTGTAGTTACCATAATACCTCACCCAAGGCACTCCCTTTGGGAAACTGCTTAAAGTTCAAACAAGAAACCAGACTTAGGGAAAACCGCATGGAAATCACCATCAATTAACCACTTCAGCATAGGTAATGGTCTGATTGTCAGTGGCACAAAGCACAGAGAACTGACAAAATCCTGAGGGTTCGTTTGGTATACGGAATTGACGGAATTAGGATTGAATTGGAATTGAGATTCCATGCGATTCAATTCCATAGAATTGAATTCTGCCAAATCCAATTCATTTTTTGCACTATCAATTCCAAATCCACACAATTTTTGGGCTCCCAGACTCTAGAATTGGAATTGAAATCCTCAATTCCAATTCCATAGTTTGAATTCCATGTACCAAACGGGGCCTAAAATTAAATTTTGGGGAATGAAAATGACTGCAGATTACTCAGTAAATAAAGTAGGAGGAGGAGAAAGAAGACTGACGGCGGATCAACATCCTCTGCTAGCTGGAACTTAGTAACAAGAGGTTGCGCCTCCGTTTGCATAGCTACATAAAGGATCAAATTCCCGGCAATCAATCGCCAAAGTGAGTTAGAGAGTATGAAAACGGAGGAGGAAGGGACGAGGAATACCGATGACGAAGACGATGGTGGAGATTGGACGGTTATCGACCGGGGAAGAGGCGTACACCGTCGAGGAATCATTGTTGACTCGTTCCGGTTGATCCTCCGGGGGAGCCATTGTGATCTTTGCCTCAGAGCGGATCGCTCTTCTTCTTCTTCTTCCCGGTCCTGCGGCGGCTGCTGCTGCTGCTTTGATTGGTGACTTTCTACTCTCGACGCCGGTGGGGACTAGAAAGAGTGTCAAATTAGGACTGGTTATTCAACTCCAACTTTACCCAATCACATTCAACCAGATCGGAGGAACAAGACAAATCTAATAAATCCTGAAAAAACTCAATAAAGTCTCTCCCGGGTGCCCCCCTTATTGGGCTTTGGGCACTTTTTTTTGTCATTTCATAAAGAACGCCCGCCCCGGACGCTCCATACCCCGGCCCAACAAGATGTAAAAGATAAATAATGTTATAATCACAATTCGGTTTTTAGAAAGATCATTTTGTGTCTGATTCGCACAAAAAGATATTACAAATAATAAGACTCCTACAGTGTTGCTGTACGGATTTAGGGTCAACGGGATTGACATCCTCTCTTTGGACCTATTGAGCTACCCATGCGAGCCATTTTATGTCATTTCATGATAATTGGTGTTATACCCGCACGGGTAGCCCAAGTGGCGAGCACTTGGAAAAGCTTCTAGAATGACCAAGGATCGAAACCTTGCAGCGACCGTTGTGGGAGCGACCACCTCTGAAAAATGGGGGGAGTCTCTGGTGCGCACTAGGATATGGTCTAGCTAAGTGTTGTGCTTGAGTCACCGTGATTTACCACTTCTCACATTCCCGTCGAGTCGGGGGTGAGGGGCGCCCGGGGTGAGCGATTTCACCTTTTGGAGAATGATAATTGGTGTTATGGTGTACAAGAAAAAAACTTCAACTACACATATTCTTGAAATTTTCAGTATTGAAAATTGTGAATCAAAATACATATCCGGCCACATTCTAATAAAAACTAAAAAAATTATATGCTAGTTTTTAGTGTTAGACCCCGTTTGGTACACAGAATTCAAACTATAGAATTGGAATTGAGGACTTCAATTTCAATTCTGGTGTTTGGTAGTACAAAAATTATGTGAATTTGGAATTGATAGTGCAAAAAATGAATTGGAATTGGCAGAATTCAATTCTATGGAATTGAATCCCATAGAATTTCATTTCCAATTCAATTCCAATTCCGCCAATTCTGTATACCAAATGAACCCTTATACTTTTCTCTCAAGATGCTTGATGTCAATTTCTGGATGGGCATGCACAACTAAAAAGGCTTGCTAGACATGATATTTCACCAAATGTTTTTACATGTAAACTGGAATATTTTGGCCGATGAGTGTAGCGCCGTATGAACAACTCTTATGTCAAAAAAATGTCAACGTTCATATATTTTTTATTCCTATGAAAGTAATATGAAAATTTGTCAAAGTGTGAAAAAAAATATTCTAATCCGTAATTATTTGATCATGTGTGACCTATTAGAGGAAAATCTTTAAGTATGAAAAAATTACCACATTCTTCTGTGTGACAAAAAGATCATTCAGGTCATATATACTTCGGGAGCTCTTTATCGGTTTAAAATTTGATTGATCAAAGAAGCCTCACAGAACCTTTAATTAAGGCCATTCTGATTTCAAAATCGTAATTGAATGTGTGTAACTCAACCAACAAATCTTTCAAAGTTGAAAATTAACCAACAACTTTTACATATAGTAAAAAGAACATTTTGACAAATTTTCTAAGTTTTTGATCCATTATATTTGAAAAATGACCGAAAAAAAGAACATTTTTACACCTGATGTATGGAATCAAATTTTTTTGAATGAATATCACTCATCACTATATAATTTACATTTAAGAAAGAATAAAATATAATGGACCGAATTTGAGAAACAAAATTTTGAACAAAAAAAAGTGCAACTCACCATAGACAAGGCAAGGCTAAAAATACACATGACAAAATTAAAGAAAACAAACGAAGCAACTATTCTATAGTGAATCTGGACGTGTATATGGACGAAGGAGGCGAAGAAGAGGAGGCGGGGACGAGGATGAGCTGAGAGATGAGAAGAAGGAATGCGTCCTCATTGCAAGGTATGGTGAGGCCGCCCGCAGGATGGTCGAACCCAAACTCCTCCTCGGCCTCGTGCAACAGCGTCTGGAAACGAGGATGATTCAGGTACGACAGCGGGACCACGTATCTCCTCCCCTTCTTCTTCGTCTTCTTCTTCTTCTCCTTCTCCGACGACGACGACACCACGTAAACTGCGAAATGACCTTTCGGGACATCCCGACGCGAACATTCTTCATCGTCTTCATCTCCATCTCTGTTACCGAGCATCTTAAATCTCCTTGCCGCATTAGCCATCATCGTCACCCTCGAAAACAGACCGATGATTGTCATAACCTCTGTTACACGGATTCTTCAAATAGGTGCCGCTTCCCGTCTCCGAAACGTCCCCAGTCGGTACTTGGGAGCCTCCCGACACCCAAATCCTTTCTAAATTTTGAAAAAAACAAAAAATTGGCCGGCGATAAGTTAATTAATAACTAACTGTTGTTTATTTCGTACTACTCCGTATAGTATATCATCGTTGTTTGTTTTAATGTGTGTGTGTGTGTGTATATAAATACGGGAGTATATATATATGGATACGCGTCGTGGTATATATACACGGATTGGGAGGTAATAATACATAGGGAGTACCAAGTAGTGTGGGGTCGGCGCGGATAGCAAGCTGGTGAATATGAATACGAAATTTGGGTCGTCGTCATCGGGTCGGACTTGAAAGGGCCCGAGGCTACTTATTACTTATGGGTCGGACACCTCCTCGCCGTGGCTCAGACGCGTTATTTTAGTCAAACCGCCGCACCGCGGCGGCAGAGAAGGCCGGCAGTCCGTACGAAGGATCCGGTTTCACCGACACTTTTGAAGACTTATATCGGTGTCAAGAGATTATTATTTATACTCCCCTTTTTTTTCAAAACGGTGGTACCATTTTCAATCGTACACAAAGGTTGATTTTTTTTTAATTTTATATACTCCCTCCGTCCTAAAATTAACTTCCCATTTGACTTCTCACCATCTTCAATGCGGCATTTTGACCATTAATATCTCCATTTTTATATAAATATATATTATCAAAATAATATATTTCAAAACTATGTTTCAAAATGAATCTATTCATACTAAATTTATATACAAATTCAATATACTTTTTCCGTAATATACAGTCAAAGTTTTTTAAACATTGACTGTGAAAGTCAAAATGGGCCATTAATTTTAGGACAGAGAGAGTAATATGGAATTGAAACTCCATCACAAAAGATCTTTGTGTTTCATTTTCAATTATAAACAAAGGGTTGTTTTTTTAGTATGACATTGAAAATTCCATGACATAAGATCCTTATCATATATGTTGAAACACTTGACATTAGAAAATTCTTGGGATAAGTAAAAAGTCTGAGGTTCACATTATCTGAAACATATTCTAAAATGTCTTCGATTTTCTTGTAAGAATTATCAGATCCACATTATCCGAATGAAAATATATTTCAAGGTCCTTAAATTAAAATTCGTGACATTTTTCTCCGAGGGTACATCTTATCAATTTAGACAATAGGATTGAAATTAAAGTTTTTTATTTTGACAAATTGAAAAATTTTATTTAAATTTTATACAATAATGATTATCAATGTAAAAATTTAGCATTTCTCAAAGAAAGAGTTTTTTCAATCATATCGACTAAATAGAAGGGATGTACTATCAAAGTACATTAATTAGCACAAAATTCAAGGATCCCCGGTGTTATTTTGGATGATGTGGCACACGAGCTGGCACAAATTTCAAGGATCAGGGAGTTCTTACCATGAAATCGACGGAACTCCGAAGTATATTTCAGATACTGTGGGACATACAAGTTATTACCGAAAAATCGAGGGTATCCCGGAGGAGTTTTTTTTGCAAAAACCCCGTACACAATTTATTTAAAAAAATCATTTATATTAAATTTATATACTCCCACCCTCTCTAGAGTCTTTGTCCAATTAATTCAACTTTTTGCAGCCAAGTAAAAATCGACTTATAACCTACCCCGGAGTATAATTAAATTAGAGTATATTAATAACCTAAAAAAAATAAAATCAATGACAATAGCTAATCATTGAAATATTTAAATATTTTCTTTGAAATATTAAATATCTTTTCAATATAACTAGCTACTTTTTTTAATCTCTGTGAAAAAATGAATAATCATTTTTTCTTTATATAGTGAGAGAGTGTAATATTAGTCGATATTAAAATAATCAATTACTCCGTATTAGAAAATTAAATATGGATGTAATTAATTCTACAAAATTATTACATTCTTTTTGCAAAAAGAATGTAAAAGTCCGCATTCGTTTTAAACGGATATTATCCGTATCCGATTAAGCACATCCGATTGATAAACGGATGCGGATTTGGTAATTACTGATCCGATCCGTGTAGACATCCGTTTATATATCCGCATATCTAATTATCCGATCCGTTATACCGAATATAGGTAATAAAAAATTATCCATAGTTAAAAATAATTATCCGTAGTTTAAACTAATTAATATTTTTATGTAGAAAATATACTCCTAGTTTCCTAATTTCTACTCAGCCCACTAAGCCTAGGCCCAAAACCACTATTGAGACTTGGGGTATTGATTAAACCTAAATAATACATAATACGGAGCACTTTTTTTCCGGAACCAGCATCCAGCAACCAACTGACCTAGCGGCGTCGTCTTCCTCAGCTATTTTCCGAATCTAGCGACCATTTCAGCGAGTGTGCGGCTTCAGCTCAGCACCTCATGATGTGATTTAACTGATTTTACTTTTTGGTTACAAATTTAGATTTCATGTTTTACAATTTTTGTTGGTTGTTGCAAGGTCAAATCTTTTTGTTGTTTGATTTGTAGATTCAGAAACTTGGTTAAGGATTTAAAGCTTTTGGTTGTGCTTGGTTGATTTTAGATTTTTAGATTTTCATATTACATATTCGGATATTCGGATGGATGTTTTTTTCGGATACGGATTCGGTTTTTCCTTGTGAATCGGATGTTTTATCTAATCTAGAAACGGATTTGGATTCGGATTTTTTACTAGTCGGATGCTCCATCGGATGCGGATATATCCGAATCCGCATCCGTATCCGCCAGATTCGAATTCGGATTTAGTATCGTAGACATCCGTCGGATACGGATGCGGATTCGGATAACGTTGCTAATCGGATTCGGATACGGTTTTAATACATCCGAAACGGATATTATCCGTGTACACCCCTAAATATGGAGTATATACCACTTCCATCCGGAAATGAATTTCCATACATTTACATACTATTTCGGAAGTCAAACTTCAATTACTTTTTTTCTTGAATTTTACATTTACTATCAAAAATATTATGTTAAATTAAAAATAGATCCGGTTAGCCATTGTAATCCGCAAAGGGTATATCAAATCCAGAGAGAAATTTTTTTTACTCATTTAATTATAGATCAAGGGTTAATTCTAGTTGACTATAAGAAATCAAAAGTAGAAAAACATTTTGAATGTTTTAAAACCTCCATTGATAACAATGCTGTGATAAACGATGAAACGCATATCTGTCGCATGTTTTTCACAACTAAGGCCTATTTGACCCATCACAAGTTCGTTACAGATTTACGATGTAGGAGAAATATCGTCACAGATGGATATGTACTATGGCTCCAATCTAATTGTGACTTATGCATGTATTTCATTGAAAATTCCATCATAGACATAGATGATTTGTTCTCTTGATCTCCACCTCATCGAGTCTAATCTGATTCTTATAAAAACAAGTAATAATAGTGCACACTGATGTCTTCGACCTTAATTTTCTAGATCAAATTATGATCTGCTATTTCTACAAAATTTCAATAAGGGTCCGTTTGGTACACGGAATTGATGGAATTAGAATTTCATGGGATTCAATTTCATAGAATTGAATTCATCAATCCAATTAATTTTTTGCATTACCAATTCAAAATCCACATAAATTTTGTGCTACCAAACGCGAGAACTGGAATTCAAGTCTTCAATTTTAATTGCATAGTTTAAATTTCGTGTTCCAAAACGGGGCCTAATAGATTTGATGATTTCTTATCCTAACTTTCTAAACGAACCCATTCTCCCTACTTTCGTGGAGTAATGGAGTTGGCGTCGACAAACATATAATGGGATTTACGTGGTGCGCGTCGTCTTTGCACTCCACCATCGTTGAAGAAGTATTGCGCCGTACGGAGTATCTCCGCTCGTACCATAATATGTATGTGGACCAATTGTCTAGTCGGATCACTCTATGAATATATTTTCTCGTCTCATTTTATCCCATTTGGCCTAACTTAAGTTGTTTATACTCTTTCCGTCCCAAAAAGATTTACATGTTTCAAAAAAATTGTGTCTTACAATCTCTTATCCATTTATATTAAATAATCACTTTTACCCTTTACTTTTTCAAATCTTACCTATCACATCATACCTTTTTTCTAATAATCTACACATCACATCATACTTTTGTTCATCACATCAAGGTTATTTTTGGAAAGTCGACACAAAATTATCTCTCCCTTAATTTCTATTTTAGTCAATATGTACCCATGAGACGGAGGGAGTAAAATATTAATTAAAAATCACTTTCTGTGTTTGTAAAAATACTTCCTAATTTGATTAAATTATACGGAGTAGTTGACTTTCTAATTTAGCTGTTAATGTGACGGGTGAAAGTAAGATGTACTCCGTAGTCCCTCCGTCCTAAAATTAACTTCTCAGTTTGACTTTTGTAGTCAAACTTTTTAAACTTTGACCGTATATTACGGAAAAAATACATTGAATTTTCATATAAATTTATTATCAATAGATTCATTTTGAAACATAGTTTTGAAATATATATTTTTTATAAAATATATTTATATAAAAATTGAAATATTGATGGTCAAAGTGTCGCATTGGAGACCATGAAAAGTCAAATAGGAAGTTAATTTTAGGACGGAGGGAGTAATAAATAATTTATTAGTGAAAGAAATATAATGTGACAGATAGAGTAAGAAAAATGTATAAGTAAAAATGATTTTTTAATATAGAACCTGAAAGTGTTCAGGTGAAGGAGAAAGAAAATAAAAGAAGAAGTGTTAGCAGACGGAGTAGAATATAATGTATTAGTTTTTTAAATAAAATGAATTGAAAAAAATGATATTTTACCTTATTTTTTGAAATGTGGTAGACATTTTGGAACACAAGAAATATATTTTTTGATATTTCAAAGTCACAATTCCAAAATAATTTTGTGATATTATGTAAAATCTTAACGTAGTGTATCTTTCAAAACATTGTGATATAAAATTACAAATTAAACTTCCACCCACAAAAATCAAACAACACAAATATGACATCAATATACGACCTCCGTCTATAAGTCTCTGCCTTTAAACAAAAATTAGTAGGAGAAAGATTTTTTTTTTTTAAAAAAATTAACCTTAATGTCATGGATAAAAATTATATGTAGTGGGTATGTTAG